TGCTATATTAAGGGCAGAGTAGAAGGAAAGAGAAGGAGAGGATGAACGAAGGCTTAGGAGGTTGCTTAGCAAGGTACTTGGAGTAGGATCTGGAGTAGAGAGTGAGAAAAACTTTCTACTGAAACTGAACAGAAGGGTATCAGATGGGTATTTGCCAAATCTCCATCACTAGGTGAAAGAATAGTAGGTGAATTTTGACTATAGACAACTATGCGCTTCTGTACAAGTTCCATGCACTAACAGATTGCACCACTGGAGCTCCTTCACCTATGCATTTCTAAAGAAATCTGAACCACATCTTCTCTCTTTTTTTTTTTAAAGTTTCAAATATTTATTATTGATCTGTTAGTGCTGATCACAGAAAAAGAATTAAGATTCCTGATTAAGTATATTCCACTGTCCGACCAATGGTATTTTTTAAGCTTGATATGGTGATATTGTCTTGACTATGGCAAAAAGGGTATCATCTTATGACCTCCGAGAGGATAAATGTGCTGCACTTCATGTGCAACTCCTTACACTCCCAGCTTGGTCCTCCTCCAGTGTCTTCTCTTGGTAATAAAATACCTCATTTTATTACCAGTCTTCATCAGAATCCATTGAGGAATGGGACGATTCCGCTTTTGCTTCTTGGCCAGGCATCGTTTGATTCTGAAAGTCTTGTGAGATGACATGGTTAGGCTCGGAGGCAAGAGCATGCACTCAATGCGGACTGAAGCAGAAAAAGCTTCTCTTCTTGAAGTGACTCTTAGGTTCACATTAAATTCTTATTTTATTGAATTTTTCACCAAATCTAGTATTAAATTTATTGAAGCAACTTTCTTTTTTTTTAAGAGAAAAAAAAATAACAATAAAATGGAGTTTCAACCAAAATCTGAACACTGTTTTCTCCAGACAAGACTTGTCATAGACCCAGGAAGCCATGTTCTAGGGCTTTTGGTAGAATGTGAAAGTGTTTCCATCCCAAATCCAGGCATGGAGTCCATTGTAGAATTCATTGTCAAATGGTGTGTTTAAGGGATCATCCCTAAGTTGGTGATCCTTAGCATATACAGAAAAGCATAGGATGGGAAAGTACTATGGGTAATGCAAGGCAGTCCTCTGTGATAGGGGAAAGGATAGTGGGATGTTTCGGCTAGTGTCACCATCACCCAACGTGTGCACAGCATAATTAGGAGCAGAAGCAAGAGACTGTTCCGCTTGGTTCAGTGTCTCTGGCAGAAAACATACCTTGGAGAACCTTATAAACTGCTCAGCAACTAGGGTACTGCATAGAGCACAAAGAAAGAAATGTAGTAAGTACGTCACATGGGACTATCTGGCTCCTGGAGTCTTAACTCCACTTTTGGAACTCTTACCAAGCCTCGCTTAGTGAACCAAGAGCCAATGCTGTAATACCAGCTATTTAAATTATTTCAGAACAGCATATCTCAGGGGGCCAGTAAAACATATGCAGGTAATTTTTCATCTATGAATCAACACTGAACACCCACCCCCAGTCCCATGCTCTTTTAGCTTAAGTCTTTCCTCCAGCTGTCTTGTTGCTTGTAAAGAGTCTCGTTCACCCAGGCTTGTACTATTCCTGTCATACTTTCCAAGATGAGCACAATACTTTCAATATTCCTGTAAGACATTCTTAGAAGTTTTATTTTTTCTCTCAGAAAAATATTTTTATTTGACATGCTTTAATTCATAAATAAGATCTTGTTTAGCTTTTAAAAATTAGGCTTGAGGGTCTGGGGATTTAGCTCAGCTGCACAGTGCCTGCCTGGGAAGCATGAGGTCATGAGTTCAATTCCCTGTACTGGAAAAAAAAAACCAAAAAAAAAAAAAAATTAGGCTTGATATGTAGGCTTAAAAACAATGCATGCACGAGAAGTAGTGTGCTCTGTGTGAGGTTCTTCCATTGTTAATTGGAGGATCACAGTCATTGCTGGCTAAACTATATCTGGAATAAATGGACCTGAGTCAAAATAAAAGTTGAATTCTCACACTAATAGCTTAGCTTGGCACAAAAGCAGAAATTTGTCCACTGCTCTAGACCACGTTCCTAACTCCAGAGAGCTGGATTATAGATGTGAATATTGATTTCAAGAACAATTTGTCAAACAGTGTGGATGGCTTACCATAAACCATTGTTAATGTAAGAAAAATAACTAGAAGAGACTCTTTTTGCCATTTGATTTGTTAAAAAAATCTTTAGATAAATCATATATTTTAAATAAACTTTGAATCTACAAAGGAGATAAACATTGCGATTCAACTTTAATGGAAGTCAATTTAAGGGAATTATATTTTAATATCTTTCTCAAGGCAGATGTGCAGATAAAATTAACCCCCTCTCATTGCCTGTCCTTCTGTTGTTGTTGTTTTAATTTACTTTAAAAATAAAAGAAGGAAAACATATTAACAAACAGGCATCCATTTACAAAAGAGTATAAAAACAATACAAGCAATACAGAGTTACAGACAAAGTGGTAGGAAATTAACAATGGTTGTTGTGTTACATACTGATATCTTCAAAGTGGTTTTTCAGGAAAACAAATAGAGACATGCAAGACTGATCAAATAATTAACCACTAACTGTTCCTTTCAGTAAAGTGATAGAAGTCAGTAGTACAACTATGTTAGCTATCCTGTGTATACATACATACATACACAATTTCCCCTTCTTTCTTTTCTCTTTTCCCACTCCCAGTTGCTTTTTACTTTTGAGCATTTTCTTTTCATTTCACAGTGTCTGTCATACCTCCTAATTTTTATTCATTCTTTCAGGTTCTTATACTAGTGAGACAATACGTTGCTTATTGCCTTTCCTATTAAACATTCAGCAGCCAATGCTATGGCCCTAAAGTTCTAATATAGGGCAAAACATTAGAATAATTAACTTGAGGAAGAGACAAGAAAAATAGATACCTAGTTACTTTCTTTCATATTTTGTCCCTCGTGGCACTGTTATGATCACACTGTGCTTCCTCTTACTGGCTTTGTGCTCAGTCATGTGACTTTAGACTCAGCCTTAGCCAACATCTTGTACCTAAAACTAACAGTAGCCCAGTTCAGAGCCTGGGCATGAAGAGGCTTCTTTACCCTTTCTGTATTTGTGGTATTGCCTTAAAAAGGCTTCTGATGGGTAGCTGCTGCTTCTGCCTGGCTGCTGTAGTGTCCAGCTTCTTCCAAAACCCCAGTGAGAAGAAAAGCTACCCCAGCCATTACAGCTGGAGGCAGAGCTGTGGTCAAGGCCAGTCTTGTGAGCACTTGATTGTTTTATCTCACTGAAGCTTTGATGAAATTCCTTCACCTTAAAGACATATGACACTGGGAAGAAATCATGCATTTGCTTCTTAAAAGACAACTACATCCTTACAGCATAGTGAACTTTGTCCTCCTGATTATTTGCATTAAAGACATTGTAGCTCTTTACTGTCAATAATTAATGAAATTAACCTTTGTTTCTAATGATGATTAATTCTTCGGTGATCACTACATCTATGTATTGCATAATGTTTACAATAAACAGGAGGTGATGTTAAAACCATTAATATCCAATATCTGCTGCCATGAAAATTACATGAAGTTAAGGCGTCAGACAGAGAATCACCAGTTTCAAAAATAATCCAAGGAAGCATGTAGTTGTGGCAAATGAATAATCCATGTGAGTGCTGTGTAAGTCAAGTCTTCTGATTCTTTTTTTTTTTTGTCTACTTGAGACAGGGTCTCACTGTGCAGTTCAGGCTGGCCTTGAACTTGCAACCATCCTCCTTCCTCAGCCTCCCAAGTGCTGGGATTATAGGTGTGTGCCACCACGCCCAGCAAAGTCTTCTGAAAGGAAGCAATCACCATGAGAAGGCCATAAAAAAGAAGTAGGACTGGATTTGAGCTTTGAAGGGTGGGTAAACTAGCATGGGCTAGAAAGATGGAAGGAATGGTGTGAGCAAATGCCTGGATGGAAAGACATGCTTTGGGATAGTGTTTTTAGATTTTTTTGCTTGTGTACCTTGCAAAGTAATTTTAATAAACTATACTTTCCTGCACATTTTTAGCATTACATCTAATTTTTTCATCTTAAGTTTAAATATTTGCAGAAGATATAATTTTCCAGTGTATTATCAGTATTTATACTCTAACATATAGTGTTTTGGTTTTTTTTTTTACTTTAAGAAGCAAACCCAATACATATAAATGCTATAGTTATGGTGAATGTCAAATTATTGTAACATTGATATAACAGTTGAAAATTTTGTAGTATTTTTTAAAAATAGATTTGATTTTTTAGAAAGTTTTAGTTTTATAGCAAAATTGAACAGAAGTTTCAGAGATTTCTTATAAACTCTATGTCTCTCTTTTATCCTTAAATCCATATTTCTATTCAATTTCCTGCATAAAATTTTAACATTGTATAATATAGTTTCTGCTTGAACATTTAAAAAATATTTTATTAATACATGTTTGCAATACATAATGATTACATTCATCATGGGGAATTGGTACATGTTGGTCACCTTGACACACTTATCTGTACCAAAAAGATAATAATTCAAATTAAAATCATAAATAACTTTGACCATAAAGTCTAAGTATTTTTTTAAAAAACTTCCTTCATTATTATTAGTATAGATAAGTATGTTGACATTTTTAAGCCAGTACTGTTATGGTTAGACTCTGCAATGGTGACCAAAGAGTCATTTATTGCAGGGTTCATCTCCAGTGCAGCAATGTTCAGAGGTGGGGTGCTGAGAAACGATTGGATCAAGAAACTGCTGACCTCATCAAGGGATTAATCCACCTACAATTTCACAGTTGAATAGGTTATTAGGAGGTAGGGCTGAATCAAAGGAAACCTGTCACTGGAGGTATGCCTTTTGTCATGGTTTATGTCTAGATGTCCCCTTTTGTTCTTGCTGCTTTTGCTGTTTTCCACAGCCATGAACTGTTACCCTCTGCCATGGGCCACTCTGCCTTGGAGCCAGCCAAGTATGGACTGAAACCTCCACAAAATGTGAGCTAAATAAATCTTTCCTTCCTTAATTCTGGGCATCAGATATTTTTGTCTCAGCAATGAGAGAAAAGTAACCGAGACAGAATCTGGTACCAGAGAAGTGGGGTCATTGCTGTGACTGCACCTGACCACGTGGTTCAAGAGTCTTTGAGAATGGCTTGTGGCAAGAGTTTGCAAAGGTTTGGAGATTAGAGCTGGAACACCTTTGGCTGTTTTGTATGGGAGATTCTGGTCACAGCACAAAGACCAGAAGGCCGATGGAAGTCCTGCAGTAAAGAACAGGGTCAGGAGGTTTCTGCCGGGAAGAACTTCATTGGTTGTTGGACGACAGATGATGTGTGTTATGGCTTGGCAGAACATTTGTCTGTATTTTGCTTGTGTCCAGAGATTTTGCCTGAGACTAAGATTAAGGGCGGTGGACTAATTAATTTGGCAGAAGAAATTTCAAGGCAGTCTAATATTGGGACAGTGGCATGGCTATTGTTGGGGGCTTTTAGCCAGACTTATGTTAAGAATCAAGAGCAAAGAGTCCAGCAGGATGATTTAAAATGTTGTGAATTTGGCCAGAAAGAAAGCTCCAGTAAAATTTCCTTTGCAGTGGACTGAAAAGATAGAGCTGAGGAGATCTTGTTTGCTGAGAAGGAACAGGAGAACATAAAAGATGGCCTGAGGGCATCTCAAGAAACAGAAAGTCTCCACCTCTTATAGCCTCAAAACTGAAAAAGTGAAAGACTTTGCTTCAAGAAGAAAGCTGCAGAGCACCATGTTCCAGAATGGTGGTAGCATAGAGAATTTGTTCCTTAGAATCAGGTTCAGAGTGCTCAGTGATCCAAGCACTGGACCCCTAGGCCCAACAGAGAAGAAACCCTAGTTACTGTTCCAGCTGGCAGCGGACCTTCACACCATCCACATGGTGCTAGTTTTAGGCACAAACAGAATGCAAGAGTTCTGAGATTAAAAAGGCTTCCACCTAGATTTCAGAAGAAGGCCTGGGAGAACAGACAGTGTGATCCTGAGAAGGCAGTATGTAAAGCTGTGAGGATGAAGCCAAAGGTACAGTGGAGACCCCAGAAGTTTGGAGAAGCCAGGCACATGGCTTGAAGGAGGAAAACTACAAGAAGGGAGCAGAACAGGCCCAAGAGAAAAGCCATAGGAGCTATAACCACCGTAAGTGCCATAGAGGTGGACCACATGGAGCTCACAATTTGCCACAGATTGCCTTGGATATTGCACATGCAACTACAGGACTAAATGTTTACCCTGCTGGGTGTTGGACTTGCTTTGGTCCCAATGCTTTGTATCCCCATTTGTACCTCTTGAAATGGTCATGTTTATCTTGTGCCATTGAATGTTGGAAGTGTTTAACTTCCCATGTGTACAGGAGCTCACAGATAAGAGTTTGCCTTAGGTCTCAGAGGAGATTTGGGACCTGGACTTTTCATCAATGCTGAAACTGTTTGGACTTTGGTAACTTAGAGATGGACTAAAATACCTTTTGCATAAAGGGATGTGCATGAATCCTTGTGGAGACAGGGGCAGAATGTTATGGTTTGTGTCTATATGTCCTCCCAAAGCTTCATGCAGTCATGGGTTTGGCTTCTAGAATTTGTGAATGAGGGACGGGGATATAGCTTAGTGGCATAAGCACCTGCCTGCCAAGCACAAGGTCCTGAGTTTGATTCCTGGTACCATGAAAAAAAAAATACCTAGAATTTGTGAATGATTCATGTTCCAATGCTGGGATTATGGGTGTGAGTGCTACTCTTGCTCTGGAGTGGGTAGCCTGAATATAATAAAAGGGAGGGAAAGAGGTTTGCTCTTGCTGCTCCTTCCCCTTTTGGTCTTGCTGCTTTTGCTGTTTTCTACAGCCATAAACTGTTGCCCTCTGCCATGGGCCACTCTGCCTTGGAGCCAGCTGAGTATGGACTGAAACCTCCACAAACTGTGAGCTAAATAAACTCTTCCATCCTTAATTCTGGGTGTCAGAAATTTTGTCTCAACAGTGAGAGAAAAGTAACCAAAACACCCTTGAAGAATATTCTCTCTCTCTCTCTGTCTCTGTCTCTGTCTCTCTGTCTCTCTCTCTCTCTCTCACACACACACACACACACACACACACACTCCCCCCCCTCTCTGCTTCCTGGATGCCATTAGGGGAAGCAGCCTCCTCTTTCACATGATGCCACCATGAGCCTCTGCTTTGTCTCAGGCCCAAAATAACACAGCACCAAAGACTGGAACCTCAGAGACAGTCAGTTAAAATAAATGTTTCCTCCTTAAAATTGATTTATGTCAGATATTTTGTAATAGTGATGCAAAGCTGACTAACACAATTGCTAAACACAAGTAAAAATGTATTCAAAAACTATTTCAGTGAAGTGAATGTTAATTTTCAAATTAATAGATTACTTTTTGTTTTGTTTTGTTTTGTTTTGTTTTTCTCCGGTACCTGGAACCGAACTCACTACCTTGCGCTTGCCAGGGAGGCACTTTTGCCGCTGAGCTAAATTCCCAGCCCCTCAAATTAATAGATTAATTCCTATCTTCATGAATATTAATGCTAATGCAAGTTCAGCATTAATTTATTCCTACTATTTTCATATATTTAAATGCTAATGAATTTTACTCATATGACTGAATAGATAAGGAGTGAAGGAAGTTTGTAATAGAAATGTCACTCAACTCTTTAATATTCTTCAGAGTTATATACAAAATATCGCATATGTTCTAGTCTTTTATTAAAGATTATTTTTAGGATTGGAGATCCCCATTTAACCCAGTAATTCCCCTTCTGGGTATTTTCCCAGAAGAATTAAAAACATCATACCACAGTGATATATGTGCACCCAGGATGAGGGCAGCAACAATTTGTTATAGCTAAACCTTGGAAACAACCCAAATGTCCATCAACTTAAGAATGGATAAGAAAAACGTGATATTTTTATACAATGGACTATTACTCAGCTATAAAAAAAGATAAACTCAAGGCTTTTATAAGCAAATGGATGCAACTAGAGACCATACTCATAAGTGAAATTAATCAGACCCATATGTGTAAGCACAGTATTGTCTCCCTAGTGTGAGAATCTAAAAGAGTAAATGAAACTGAAATGTACAATAGATATTGTGAAAGGGAAAGAAACTGCTCAATAGGAAAGAACAACTTGGATGAGGGAGACAAAAGAAACAAACAAGGAAGAAAAAAATATATATATACACACACACACACACAAGATAGCTAAGATAATTGTATACTAATTTCTATTGGTTTATTGCAAGGAACAGTTAATGTTTAATTGATTGATAAATCTTGCATCCCTATATCTGGTAATCGGAGCAACTAATTTGAAGATAACAATAAGTAATACAACAACTACTGTTGATTTCCTATCATCTTGTTTTGAAATTCTGTATCGTTTTTATGGTTTTTGTGATGTTTTGTTTTGTTTTTGTCTTTGTTTTTGTTATTTTGTCTTTGTTCTTTTCTCTTTAAAATAAAAAAGGCAATTTACTACTTTAAAAAGATTTTTTATAATCAGTTATGTGATAATTGCTTAGAACATCTTTAAAAAATTATAATTAAAAATTAGAGACTACTTAATTTCCAAAGCATTAGAATCCAACTAAGTACCAAGGTTAGGAATTTGGTTTTTCCCATCCCGTAGTAAAGTATGAGCTGAGTGAGAAGTGAATTCCACTTTTGGAAAGTAGGACATAAGTGTAATAAAAATGGCAAGAAAGAATGAGCTGGATCCTTTGAATACAGCTGAATCACCAAGCTTATATACTTATTTAAAAGTGTACATATGGAAGTGGAGAATTACTATTAGATTGGTTAAATAATTAACAGTTAAGGAAACTATTTCCTTAAAACTTAGCTGCATCCCTCTTAGAAAGTTTCTGTGTACCCTGTATGATATGCATACCCTAGTTTAAAGTTTATGTTTTCACAGAAGATCAAATTGACCAGTTGGCTGGATCAGCCTGGAAACTTACAATGAAGCTGATGCACAGGCTAAAACACAACTAAGGAAGAAATGTTTCAAAAACTTTTGACTTCATTCCACTACTACAGAGACAACCAGTCTAGTCCAAAATGAGCCTATTGTTTCTTGCCAAGAAACATGAAAACTTCTCAAGGATAGAAAGTCATCACCTGGGGAATGAAAAAAACCACATGTGTTCTTTGGCAGCACTTACAGACGCCTGTTTTCACACCTGCATATAGAACCACAGGCAGTTCCAATTTACCAGGTGAATTGATGGAAAGCTCCCTTTGCAGAAGTGGTGTTAGGCTTAGATCACAAAAGAGTAATTCCTTGCATATTGTACATTATTTACAGCTGGTTTGAATTTACATTATAATGATGAACACAAGATGGGTTGGAGGATTTCCCTAATCACTTCTGCCTCTCAGATCTGCTTGCCTACAAGACAAGGGTCTCTAACATTTGTGATACAACAATGTTCTGCAGGCATACTAATTAAAATGAGAAAGTCCCTAAAACAAGAAATTATGAATTAATTGCATGAAGTTCTTGTGACTTTCCTATGTAAAATCTTGGACTGTGACTGCAGATCTGTTTAGTTGAGTCTTTCCGGACTGAAGTGGGTGGAAGCAGTTTATAAGAGTGTTGCTATGCTTAGGGTGTTGCATTGTATCACCTCGGTTTCACATACAGTCCATATAAGAATAATACATCTTTATGGCAAATAAATATTCAATAACAATATTAATGATTACTGTGAATATGTGAAGCATGTTGCTTGAAACCTCTTCTTAAATAATAATTATTGATTCATACTATTCTTTTATACTCTTCATTCAAATGTTCAGGTAATAATCTTCTAGCAGCTTCTTTTTATTAAAAGGCTGCTTGCATATTGCAGAGAAGATGTTAAAGTCTTCATAAAGATATGGTGAACAGGTCGGTGGTGTTGAGGCTGTGGAGAGAAAGACAGTATTTGAAATGGTGGGAAAATGTAGCTTTATGTGAGTCAGAGGACCTTGGGTTTTGGTTTTGCTCACAAAAAGCCAAAGGGCCTCAATTATTTTGTTTATTTCTTATTTATAAAATGAAAACAATACCTTCTCAAACAATCTCACAGGACGGAAACCTATAGAGATGGAATGTGCAAAGAGATTTTGAAAAGTTCAAGGTATTATGCAAATGAAAGTTTCTGTAAAACAATAGATTTTATGAAGACTAAATTTCTTGTAGATTTTTGCTTGTGATAAAAAGGAATTTAATTAATAATGCGGATGGGCTGATTCCATCAGGGCCCGCCTTGTGTTCCAGTTCTGCAGCTGACCTTTCACCCAGCTAGGGCCCCACCCTCAGCCTTGAAAACAGCCTTGTGAGGTCCTCTGATAGCAAACCTGAGTGTGCTGATTAGAATCGCTCCCCAGCTTGCTGGGCTGCCTCACTAGGAAACTCCCTAGCAAATGCTACATAACAAGTTTGTGTTTTCCTTGAACGAAGGAAACAAACAAATTATGAATGATTAGTTTTCAGCTAAGCGGATCAAGATTTCTGTATTCTTTTTTCCCCCTGTATTCTTTTCCCATAAGTCAAACTATAAATTTGCACTGAGAATAAATAACATATGTAATCCCACGCTTCAGACTCTTTACGTTAAGGAGAAAATTGTTTCTTGGATCCCAAATAAAGCAAAGTAAAGTAGTATTGATCTTTCTCCGTGGATTTACAAGGTCTCCCTGGGAAAGCAGCAAAAAGAGCTGGGGTTCACTTGAACACGCAGCGATCAGGTCGTAAGGCTTTAGATAATCCTGTACCAAATATTGCTATGTACTAGGAGGGACTGCCAGCTTGATTCAAGATTCTCACCTTTAAGCTGAGAGCCAAAGTCACTGAATGGTGGTTGAACATATATGTGTGTATATGTATATATATATATATATATATAGTATTTCTTTTATTTGCCCAGGGCCTTCTCCAGCCTTTACATTATTGGGTTTGGTTTGGTTTGCTGTAGGGCCTGCTAAGTTCCCTAAGCAGGACTCAAAATAGTGATTCTTTTGCCTCAGCCTCCCAGATTGCTGGGATTACAGGCATAGACAAGATTGTATGAACTGAATAAAGCATGTATGAAATATTTTATCTGGCACCTGACTCTTGTGTCTTGGGATTTTGTTCTTATTTTGATTAAAGAAATGGAAGCTTATCTGGCCCGGAAAGAGAAGGTTTCTCCACTTTTAGCCAAACCTAATATGGAGTTCTTGTCTTAGGAACTGCCTAGCATCTTAGTGTAGGGTTTCTCAACCTCAGAATTATTGACGTTTTGGGGCTGGCTGCCTGTGTGTTGTGGGATGCTTCACACCGTTACCGGCCTTTACTCACAAGATGTCAGTAGCATCCCCATCCCTGCTCCCTCCAAGTTGTGTTCATTAAGATGGTCTCTAGACATTGCCAAGTGTTTTCTGGGTGAAATCACCCCTGGCTGAGAACCTCTGTCTTAGTTCCTGCGTCAGCCTTACTCTTGCCATCACTACTCTCTTCTTTCCTCTTGTCATCTGCACTTCAAGTTCTGGAGCTTTCTCTCTGATTTTCTTTCCAGAAACCTAATTTTAGTTCTACTTGGCCCCAGTTGCCAGTATTTTAGGAGACACATGTTCATACATTGTTATTTGTCAACTAATTCACCTATTTCTCAACCCACCATGCATTTATTGAGTAACTACTATGAACCAGGCCCCAAAATTATGAAGATAAAAAGACATATTACTTTATACATGGTCAAACAGAGCCATGTCTCTGCCCATGTACCCCTGGGTAGGAGAACAACTGTGTCTTTGTCAGGGACAAATTTGCCCAGCTCGGGACAACGAATGGAGGTCATGGAATGATATCCCTAGGATATAGAACAGAACAGAACCAAACTTCAATTCTACGTCATTTTCCGAATTCCTGGAGCGCAGATCTCTTCACTATTGCACAGATCCCTTAGTTCTAAACTCTAAGACTTTCCTTAGAGCCTACAGCCAACTGTCCTGAGCACAGTGTTTTGAATGGACATACGTACCACATCAGCTCTCTCTCATGACAGTCAGAACTTCAACACCACCACACTCTGTCCTCAGAACTGCTTCCTCTGAGCCCATTCTTCCTGGGTCAACTCCAGAGTGCTAGAACCTCCTGAGAACTTATAATCAGCTATCAATCCAGGAAAAGTTCCCAGGGAAGAGAGCCTTCCTGGGAATTCAAATGTTCTAATTTGCCAGACCTAACACTGGCCATTAGGTTCCAAATGTTCACGTGTCATGTCAGAGTTGCTGTGATCCTCCTAATGTTCATACACGAGCCATTTCATCTCTTACTGGACTCAGTGTAGTCCATTTTATGGGCACTGAGGTTAGGAAACTTAGCCAAAGTATTCTGCATGAACCATGTCCTTTGTATAAACCCTCGTACCACTCTATCACAGTAAGAGAGTTGGAGACATTTCTACTAATTTTTATCTGAAAAAATTCACATGAAATACAGATCCATAGCCTGCTGTTCGTGCTAGCTCTTACTCCTGTACCACTCGACTGAGGCAGAGGAGCCAGGGATCACTGTCACCATCATCCTCATCTGAAAAGTCCCTGCAGCTGTTGTCATCATTACATAGAAGCTGCTTCTTTATGCATCTGCCTGTAGTGAAAATCAGGAAAGATATTGTGTCTAAGGCCAACTTTATTATCAAATGCACTTTAAGGCTGGAGCTGAGGACCTAGACAAACACATTTGAATTTTTTGTGTAGAATATATCAATGATGACCTTGTTGGGGACGCTTTAACACTTGGAAATGTATCTAGGAGCACATTTATTTCTTTTTGCTCATAAGTGTACACAGAAACCCACAGTGAGCAATTGACATGCAGGGATTTCCTATGCTGCACTGAAAGTCAATTCCACAATCATCCTAGGCCTCCAGGGAAGCCTCTGTGGGCACACACTGCTGTCTGTCTCCCAGAGCATCCATGTCATGTTTCCCAGTAAACTGCCCAAAACTTTCAGTGTTCCTTTAGCAAAACTGCACAAAACCAACCAGAAATGTGAGACTTCCTAATGTCAACAAAGGCTTATGGTGAAAAGCGGCACCCACCCTACTGCAGCTCCCAAAACCAAATGAGTCCATGGTTTTAAGGGAGAAGCCACAGCAGCATTCATTGATGTTAGTGAAAGCGGCACTTCACATTCTAGCTTACATGCTTTCTTGAACACCGGATATGTTCTGATGACTCTCATTCAGTATAATGTGCAGCATTCGGCTACCTGGTAAGGCCAGCCACATACTAGATGATTGTCTCTTCTTTTGGGTTGGAACTCAGTTGTGGTGGACTCTCGCCTTACAGCTTCTTCCCAGGAGAGATGAGCAATAGCTCCGGGGAAGAAAGAAGATAAACACTTAGCGTTTGTTTGAGGCAAGGATCACACTGTGACCATTCACTCCAGGTACTCATTCAGCAGTCTCTGGGCAACAGAGAGCCTTCACTTTGTGTTAGCACTTAGCTATAAATGAGATAGTAAAAGTTAATCAATTTTTTAGTGACCATCATGTATTCCTGTTTCCAAGGAGTCTTCACAAACTAGTTTTATTTTTCAGCTGTATGTAATGGCTCATGCTTACGACTGAGCCCTCTGTGAGACTGACATGGGAGAATTGAAAGTTTCAGGCCAGCCTGGACAGTTTAGAGACTTACTGAAATCTTGTCTCAAAATAAAAAATAAAGAGGCCTAAAGTTTAGACCATTGCAAAGGCTTGGAGTTCAATCCCCAGCCGGTACTGAAAAAAACAAAAACAAAGCAAAACAAAATCTTTAGTAATTTTTCTCTTCTAAATCATGGTACTTACCCTTCTCCCCTACATTCCCTTTGACACTTGATCACATGATGTTTTGTATTTTCAATGCATCTTTTTGTTTAATTCATGTAATGCATGCTAACTTTCAAGCTAAAGGGATAAGAGGAAAAAAACTCACCAAGTAACCACATAGATGTTTTACATTGATTAATATTGTATTTTCAAACACACGATGAACTCCTTGAAGCTGGAAATCTTGTTTTACCTTTTTATTTTAAAGAGAAAGAAGAAAACAAACAATAAAAACATTGATACAGAATTTCAAAGCAAGATGATAGGAAATTAGCAATTAAAATATAACAACAAATTATATTGCATGTTGTTATCTTCAAAGTAGCTGCATACAAAACTGATCAGACGATGTAAGCACAAACCACTCCTTTCAATGAACTAATAGAGATTAATCATGCAACTATTTTAGCAATCTTGTGTGCATATGTGTGTTATTTTTCTTCCCCAATCCCAGTTGTTCACTTTCTGTGTATGCCTCCCCTCCCCCAGAGCCTCCAGTTGCCTGGCTCCCTTACAGGTGTAAGGCAGCCATCCCTGCCATTCCTGCAACAAGTGCCTCATCAATCCGGCTTCCTGCTCCAGGATTCTGGTCCTAAATCCCAAACCGAATGCTTTGCCACGTCACACTGCACTTCAGAACTCATTCTTTCTGGGATGGAACATCCTATTCTTTGGCATTTACAGCAATGCTTGGGAGCACTTTTCTGGCTTTGAACTTTCCTTCCTCCTCTTCTAGTCACAACCCTACCTCGGGTAATTATCCCATCACATGATGGAGAAGAGACAAGCATAACAAATACAGAAGCTACCAAACAGGAATCCTACAACCTTCCTGCCTCTCTGGCCCTGAGCTGGCACCAGATCTTTCAGTGAAGCTTCCTGCACCAGAATAGATGTTTTAGAGTAGGCCAGGCTGATTCATTCACAGAAACTTGGATCTTGACTCTGCTTTGAGACTTGAATCAACTGAAAATTTCCTCCATCCGAAACTCTTCCTTATAACCAGCTCCTTGCCATTCATAATACAATGTGTGCACGTCTGTGACATTAAACAGGGAAAAGGTAGTGAGTGAACCCACAGAACAGCCTCCCCGGGCTGCTCATTTTCTTCCATCCGCTCCCATCTCCCTCCTGCCCCTCACAAGCGCATCTGAAAGAAATTGCAATAAGCACATTTATGCTTCTGCCTCAGCCCCCAGCAAGTCTCATCTCCTTCAGCCCTCCATGCTCCTTGTACTGCTCTAAATTTTGGCCGAGTATCTTGGAAAGGAGGCTTGCCCCAGTCTCTCTCCTTGCTGCCTGTTACATCTCACCCTGCTGCCCTGCTAGACTTTCTCCTGCCTAAGGAGCATGGCGACAGCTAGGAGGTCCACTTAATTCCTTCAGTTCTGACCTTTTAAACTTCCCACAGCCTTTAAAGCAGTTGACTGCCCTTGCCTTTTAAAGCACAGTCTTCCCCTATACTGAACTGTATTCTTTTCCACCCAGTGCTCTGGTTGCCTATACAAGGTTCTCTTTTTCCCTTTTTCTTTGTGTTTTCCCAGAGCTTTTTTTCCTGTGTGTGTCCCAACGACACCCATAGAGTTCAGACATTTCTCCGGAACTGTAAACTTTTGGATTCCATTCCCAACGGGGCATCTTGGATGTCTTTATGGTTTATCGAACTCAATGGATTCTCAAATCAATTCATTAATTTTTCCTTTTTTGCTTACAGCTGCTCCTTGATTTATGCAGAGTCCTGGGAGTTGCTTGTGTCAGCCTGCATCCTCTCACCCTTACCTCTGACACCTAATCCACCACTCAGACCTGTTGTGGACAGTCTTATGAGTGGTTCTCAAATCTGCCATTCCTTATCTCTCCCGGGAATACTCTTGTCTGCAATACCATTACATCTCCCATAGGTGACTAAAATAATTTCTAGGTTTGCATAAGGCACCTGGGGGATTTTTCAGAAATGCAAATTTGATCCTACCATTCATTCCCTCACTGAAAACCTCTCGGTAGCTTCCCGTCACTCTAGGGATAGTTTCTCACACAGCATGAACAATGACTCCCAGAGACGTACGTGTCCCACTCCCTGGGCTCTGCGAACATGTTACCCTAAATGGCAAGAGTTGGCAGACTGATGAAGGGCTGGGCTTATTTTAATCACATGAGCTTTTAAAAGAAGACTGAGCTAGAGAGACAGGAAAGCCGGAGAGGCAGGAGAAATTGAAGGCTTGCTGTTGCTGGCGCTGAAGACGGAAGAGGGGGCAGTGAGTCAAGGCATGCGGGGAGCTCTAGAGCCTGGGGCAGCAGGGAAGTGGATTCTAGATCCTCTGTTAAGGGATCCAGTCCTGCTGGCACCTTCATTTTTACCCAGTGAGACCTATTTATGATTTCTAACTTTCATACCTGAGTTTTTTTTTTTTTTTTTTTTTTTTGGTTTTTGTCCCGTACCGGGAGCCGAACTCACGACCTTGCGCTCGCCAGGCAGGCGCTTTGCCGCTGAGCTAAATCCCCAGCCCCTTCATACCTGAGTTTGTGTCATTTGTTCCCATTGCAACGGGAAACACATACACAGGACCCAGAGAGTTCTGCATATCCTGTCCCTTCCTCATGCCACAGCCTCACTTTTTTCTACCTAAGTCTCAGACACATTGAGCTTAACTCTGTTAGATGAACCACTTTTTCTATAACTCAGCTCTTTAATCCCGCTTATCTCATTCACCATACTGATCTTACCGAGGACACCCTGATTAGTGTGTAGATCTTCTCTTTGACACCTTTTTATTGGTGTGTGCTTATGATACATAGTAGTTATGCTTATTTGGGGGAGCTGGTACATATATATTATTTCTTGATCATTTTTGATCCCTTTATCTCCCCCACCATCCTTCCTTCCTTTTCCCAGATCTTCGTCCCCTTCTCCGAAAGGTCTCCTTCACTGTTTCATACAATCTCTCCTTACTTTACCCTTCAATTAATTTATGTTTTGAGTTTCTCCTATGAGAGAAATCATGAAATACATGTACTTAATCCTCTATATTTGACTTACTTCACTCAACACTTTTCTCCTGAGAACCTTCCTGAGCCCCCCGGTGTGGTTTTCTGTGCCCATACTGTTGTAGCGTCTTGTTCTTCCTTATATCATAATGCCTTGCAAGGATACATTTCATTTAGTTAATTAGTTAACTTGTTAATTTATCAAATGCTTATTAGTTGATTATTACTGGCTAAGCATAGGAGATAGAATGATGTTCAAAACAACAAAACAAAATGAAAGTGATGATCTAAACTAAATGGAGTTTACATTCCAGTGAAAAATACCAGTGAGAGTAGGAAATTTATGTCTTGCTCAGCTTTGCAGTGCCTGAACCATAGTGGGTTTTCAGGAAGTGTTTTTTGAATGAATAAGTGAATCCCTAAGGGAAAGGACAGGAAGGAAGTTCTGGATCAAGTGGTCTTGGGTAGCCCTAAGCATGTATTTCTCTAATCTAATCTCCTGGTGAACCACTCACATGGTTTTGTGCAAGACGTATTTGTCATCCAGGCAGGCATCCTGCCTGGAGATGCCATTTTGCAAGCCTAACCCTTCCTGACACATCCAGCATATCAGGAAGTCTACATAGCTTTTATCTATTAAAAGTATGGGCTAAAAATGTATTATACAGGCTGCCAAAATTCCTAGAAAAATCTGCTTGCCTTAAGTTAGGGCATTCGTGTGTGCTGGAAATCACACAGCTGAGAAAGTCTCTGCTAGAAGATCTCCATAAAATTAAAGCCTTGTCTGGAGCAGATGGGCTTGAAGAAGCACTGTCAGATGCACCCTCACGCCCTGGAACAGTGGCTCTCAATACTGGTGCTATATTCTCATCTCAGATATTAAAAGTAAGAATTTGGGCTGAGGATGTAGCTCAGTTTTAGAGTCCATGCATGTCTTCAGGTTCAATCTCCAGCACCACAAGAAATAAAGACAAAATATGCATTATAAAATTGTGATCCTCATTCCACATCAATTCAGGCTCTCTAAGTATGGGCTGCAGACATCTCTGTTTCTAAAAACTAGCCAGGTGAGGTGATTCTCTTGTTCATACAGTGTTGAAAAGTACTGCTTAGCAATCTTTGGTAGAAATCCACGATATCTGAAAGGGTGGAATTCCAATAGGTGTGGGGTGCTCCTGATGTCAAAATTACCCACAATCGAGGCTACCATTGGCTTCACTGTGACACTGAACTCTGCTGTTGTTGTTCTTGAACTCACACTAGCCTTTCCTACTAACTTCTGTGTGGATCTTCCCAGTAGCCTCCTGTTACCTTGAACTGGAAACATGTTAACACTTTGTTTCGTATCTCCTCAGGGTCCCAGGGACCACACCCTGCAGATCAGTGCTGTCATAGCGCTATCCTCTCTTGCAGCTCAGGGTGGTGTCAGTGAG